CGCCGCCGGCCTCGCCGCAGCGGCCGCCCCGCCCTCGGCGCCGGCCGCCGCTCCCCCATTGGCTGCCCCCGCCGCCGCTCCGGGGAGGCTCCGCCTTCCGATTGGCCGCAGCCGCCGCCGCGCGCGAGGGGGGCTGCTCCCTCCCCTCGCCCGCCGGCTGATGCAATGGCGGGACACGCGGCCACRTGACGCGGCCGGGCAGAAGCCGGGCAGGGCGCCGCCATTTGAGGCGCGGCGGGCGGCGCCAGCACTGACGTGGTGTCCCCTGGAGGGCGGCGGGCGCTACAAGGAGCCCAGAAGGGCACGTTGGATAATTTGTCACGTTGGATAATTTGTCCCACCTCGTCCCCACAGCAACCGGTTTGGGCCCTTTTGGAAGCTCTCGGCCTTCAAGATGTGTATTCAGAGCCCTGGCACATCTGCGCTGCCCTCTGCTTTGGCCGTGGTGGCCGTTGCATTGGTCAACAGTTGGCCCTTTCCAAAGGTCACTTGCTGCTTGGTCTCTTTGGCTCAATGCTTGCAGCCATTCCCACCAGTTCTGGTCCTCTGGTGTCCTTTCTCCCCTGTCTCTTTTCTCCTTCCCGAGGAACCTGGAAAGGCAAAGTGGAAACTCCAGTCACRTTGGTTCCTAATGGGACCTCTGTCCGGGAGCTGTTTTGCAGGAAGATAGCAGCAGGAACGGGCAAGCCTGCACAGGGCAACTGCTTGCGTGGCTGGTTACACCCACAAGAGACACCTCCTGTCTAGGAGGGCACCAGGGTCTAACGCCAGCCATTGCCCCCCAAACCCACCCAGCRCAACTGCTCTCTATGGCATCTCGTAGAGACCATCACCAAGATGGAGGAATCATTGCATCTTCTTCCTATGCTTGCAGTCACCTGAAAGCATGTTTTTTTCCCCCAAATCTTGGTGCCCCTCCACCATTTAGCAGCTGCTGGCTGAGGCCAGAGTATTTCTCTGGTGAGTGCCAGGTCTGAAACTATGGGGATCCCCAAGAACTAGCCAGCTCCATCCCCTCTGACCATGGCCATCCACCCGATGTGCTTTTGGACACATCTGGATGTGACAGACCCAACCCCACYGCTCTTCTTATTTCCCCTTTAGTCTTAAGCTCAGGTTTCCCCAAACCTTGGGCTAAACACAGTCAATTCTATGGAGATTTTTTATGTGGCTTCTTTCAGCATGTTACTCACCTCTCCCTTCCCCAAATCCGTGCCTGGGAGCTGGTTTTGGCTRTGGGAGCCCTGACTTAGCAGGGGTGTGTTGGTCCGATAGCCTCCCAGGGCAAGGTGGTAGCCACAGCTTTGGGGCGCAGACCACTGAGGACCAGCTCTGATGGCTCCTGGGTGCCCTGGRGGACATCATTTGTAAAAGCCAAGTCAGATTTCAGGCCTCTTTAGGTCTCTTTTGGTTTCTGGTTGTCTTTCAAGTGTWCTTCCAAGCACTGAATGGAGGCCCATCAGCAGCAACAGGGATTTGGGACACTGGGGTTGTAGGAAAGGGATCAAGTCTTGGTGAACTGGGCAGCACTGCCAGGTCAATGCTCCCCGTGTCGGGCTGCCGGGGRGCTCCTGGGCCCCCAGCTCTCCATGGGCCAGGCGAGGGGCTGGGACTGCCACTGTCACCATCCCCGTGGGAGCCCGGGCCACACCCTGGGCTGTTCCCGGGCTCCGGCTGGCGCGGAGCAGCCCGAAATCCGCAGGGCGCAGCCAGTTTGTGAGGGTGGCGAGCGCGGCGTGGATGGCGRCGCTGGCTCAGAGCGTCCTGGTGACGGGCTCCAGCCGCGGCCTCGGGCTGGAGCTGGTGAGGCAGCTCGCCGCTGGCCCCCGGCCGCCCCGGCACGTCTTCGCCACCTGCCGCCAACCCTACGGAGCGAGTGGGAAGGTCAGTGTTGGGAGCAGGGCACGGGGACGGCCCTGCGCGGGGCGAGCGAGGCGGAATTCGCGGATCCTGGGCTGGGACGGATGCGCGGTCCTGCATGCGGGCAACCCGGCCCTGCCATTGCTCACCAAGGCCGCCTAACCCCGGCTCCATCACTTSGCTTCCAGGCCCTGAGAGAACTGGCTGCCCAGCACCCCAGCATCAAACTGGTCCAGCTAGGTATGGAGCAATCTTCCTCCTCGCGCYGGGCGCTGTCTCTAGCCCTCCGTTTCCCTCAGGGACAGCTTTGTTGGACACATTGCCTTCACACTGGCAGCCAGGCAGCTCCCGCGCTGCCAGGCAGGGAGGAATCCGTGAACTTTGGGGCCCAATCCCCACCTCCCCAAGCAGCCCTCTCCTCTGGGAGCAACCAAACCAGCTTCAGAGGCAGGTGGAGGTGGGTCTGGTCAGCTCCACCAAGCAAGTTTTATGGGACAGGTACGACATCGGTCCCCAAAAGTGCTGAATACGATGCCTGAGCATGGTAGCTTTTTGGGTCATGACGCATAGGTTCACAGAGCAAAGCAAGGCAGGGTGCAGCACTCATCATTACCAGGGAGCAGATTGCTTGGAAGTGACTGTGATCATCTTTTCCTCCTGCCTTCCTTCCTGGAAAAAAAAAAGGGGGAGAAGAAATAGGCTAAAAAGGAAGAAATAGGCTAAGAAGATGCGTATGGGAAATCTGGCCCCATGTTGGTAGCATGGGTTGATGCGCAGTGCAAAGGCACCGCTGGGTTTTGGATGTTTGCAGGATTGAGCCTGGGAGGTTTCCTGTCCCTTTGGAAGTTGGCCGGGTTTGGTGACCTTTGTCAGCAGGAGAAGGTAGCAAACAGACCTGGACAGCACAAGGGCTTGAAGTAAAAAAGGCAGAGAAGACAGAAGGGCGCTTTACACGTCCAAAGCTAAGCTATCTATATGCACTTAACCTCTCACAGTGCCAGGCAGGGTGTAAGGAGCAGCATTAAAGAAGCAGCGGGTGCTGCAGYGTGGTTTCCTGCAGGTGAGCCTTGGGGAGGCAGTCGTGTCCAGGAGAGCAAGGTTTGCTCAAAGGGTAATTCTTTAAGAGCTMGTATTAAATAAATAAAAACAGGCAGCTAAGAGAACACTTGCAATAGAGTTTTCACCCCTGTAACAATGGAAATGAGAAGCAGCCAGAGCTCCTTCCCACAGTGCTTCCTTTGGGTGAATAATAAGGAAATTGAATCAGGAAAAGCAAATAGCGTAGCAGTTTCTGCCTACCTACTTATATGTTAAAATACAAACCACCTCAAAAGTAAATGTGCAGAATTTCTTAAGAGAAGAAATTTCTGAAATCAGTCTTTACTAGAAACAGGCAGTGATTTTTTTTTTTTTCTTTCCAAATACTAGAAATAAAATACCTTCTTCATAATGAAGTCATCTTTAAAATGACCTGGCATTGCCAGCTGGTCATTTGTGATGCAAAGAGCAAAATTACCCTGCTCACCAAAGCTTGGCCARCCGAAAAGGGACATCTCAGGTGGCCCCTGAAGTCAAAGCCTTTGCTAAAGCACGTGCAGAAGAGAGCCGAGTCCCAGAATAAACTAAACACCGGTGAAAAAAATGTAACAAAATTAATTTGTACCAACAAAATACACTCAAAAAGAGAAGCTGCTCCTAGTGTTCTTCCTCCCTGTTAATAAAAGATCATTTCAAACCAGTAAGAAAAATACACTTTTCAAAAATGGGTGCTAGAAATCACCTTTAAAAGTGCCCAAGACCTGACTCTTTTCATTCCATTTCTTTTCCCCTCTCTTTCTTATCCTTTTTATTTCTTCCCCTGCAGCAAAGCTGCAACTCCTGGGTGTTAACTTGGCTCGTAGGCAGCAGCTCAGCCCCGGGGAGGCCGAGCTGGGCGGCTCAGCCAAAGGAACCGGCTCTTCCCACACGCCTGGCTCCGGCTCCCGCGCCCTTTGCGCGCTGGGCACGTGGGAAGGCAAGCGGGTGCCAAGGCTTTGGGTCACAAAGTGGCACCAAAACAAGCGTCCCACCTCATTTCCTTGTCGCAATGACTCAGCTACCTCTGGAGAAATTAATTATTCACCAAAGATCCCCCGTGGTGGAGTGGCAGAGCCTGTGACTCAGTTAACTCGTTATCACCTCCAAAGAAGTTGCCAAGGACTGTGCTGAGAAATGCCCTTGAATGCCAAGGTGAGGCCACGTGCCCAACAGTCTGTGCACCCCAAAGGTGCTGCTGCTGAGTACAGGGTGCCTGCATGAGCCATCTGGAGAAAGGATTTGGGCTTCCAGCAAAACCAGTGCCAAGTGGGCAGCACCCAAGCGTGCCCAAGGTCTCCCGCTGGCTCCAATTACCTCCACGCCAACCTAGTTCAAAATCCAAAAGTCACAAACAACATAATGGTGTTTAGGGGAGAAAGAGCCACTGATTTCATAAGGCAACAATATTATAAAGACTCCTGCTGCCTTATGGACACCTAATTCACACAGAGCAGCCCCAAAACAAATTCCCTCACTCAATTCTCCCCCAGCTATTTTCACGATGCCTTTATGTAGGAGGCAGGAGGTGGGGACATACAGGTGCAGCTCGCTGGTGCATCTGCCAGCTCCAAATCCTAAAGCAACAGCCCAAATCCATCCACAGGAAAAAGAAAACAAAGCTAGAAATGAAGGAGTTTTTAAGGAGTTTAAATGAAGGAGGTTTTAAGAGCCAACAACTGCTAAATTGTAGGAAACTGTTTTGGGGAAGATCAATTTAAGCACAGATTGCTAAAAGGGGAAAAAATAAAGAAGTTTTCAACCAGATCTCTATCTTCATATAATTCAAAGATAAGCTGAATCTCTGCACCTGATGCTGGCAGCCCCTATAGCCGCTGTGCAGTGTGGAAGGACTCTAGAGCACAGGTATATTGTGTCCCAAAGGGTGATGTCTATCACTGAAACACATACATCCAGCTGGGGGTGCTTCCTAATGGCAATGAAATAGGAAATAAATCTGGGAGCCTCCATGTCTAAGGGCCAAGAATCTGCTGTAAAAGAAGCCCCGAGCAGTCAGAAATTTGTTGGATATATAAAGCAAGTGTAGCTAAGCTCCTCTTAAGAGTAATCTCATGTATCAGTAAAAAAAARGTGCTGGGGGACAGATTGAAGTGATATGAAGTGGATATGAAAGAATGAACTTAAAAAAAAAAAAAAAAAGAAAAGAAAAAAGCTTTTCTTTAAAAATCATCCCACTTGCATGAAACTACGCCTTGCCAAGGCCTGCAAGCAGAAAGGCAAAAAAAAAAAAAAGAAAAGAAAAAAGCTTTTCTTTAAAAATCATCCCACTTGCATGAAACTACGCCTTGCCAAGGCCTGCAAGCAGAAAGGCTCTACCCATAGGCTCAGCTCGGCGTCCTCCCAAGGGAGTCCTCCCAAGGGCCTCATTGTAAACGCTAATCCAGCCAAGCCGATGGAGCCCAGGCTCTGGGTGAACCCAAAAAGCAAGGAGAAGCTGCCACCCATGTTTAGCACCCTAATCTGCTCCAACCAACGCTGCCTTTTTGGGTAACGCTTGCTCAAGAAGAGCAGCTCTTGACCCGCAGCACATTTCTCTGCGGGCACACGAGGGAGGGATGGGGGATTCAGGGTTATCCGGCTGCTGCGGATCGGAGGTGGGAAGAAGCCATGGAAGCTACCAGAGCTCTCCTCCCCGTCCCTTCTCTCTCGCCCCGGCAGACACAGTGAGCCTGGCCAGCGTGCGGGCAGCGGTGCGGGCGGTGACGGCCCACCTGGAGGGCCAGGGCCTCAACGTGCTCATCAACAACGCGGGCACCTGCTCGCGTGCCGCGCTGCGCGCCGCCAGCTCGCGCGAGATGCTCGCTGCCTTCGCCACCAACGTCRTCGGGCCCCTCCAGGTCACCAAGGTACATGGGGCCTCCTGGGGCTTCTTGCGGGGATGTCATTCAGCAGGGGAGGTCCTCACGCTTCGGACAGAGCCACAGCCATGGATGGGCAGCAAGACCGTGGGCATGAGGACTCTTCTGCCCATTCCCCCAGCACTGGCCGTGCTTCTTCGGGACCTTCAGGACCATTCTCAGGGTTTGTCTTGTATTAACGGAGCACCGGTGTCTTTGYGGCAGGAATTCCTGCCCCTCTTGGAGAAGGCAGCAAAGGGCCCGGCCAAGGAGGGCCTGAGCTGCAGCAGGGCGGCCATCATCAACGTGTCCACCAAAGTGAGCTCCATCGGGCTGTGCCTCGGCGTGCGCGAGGCCCCCATGTACCCGTACCGCGCCAGCAAGGTGAGGTGCCACGGGAGGTGTGGGGCTGCGCCGCGGGGTGCTGGGGGCCCGCCTGCACCACGGCATGTCAGCAACAACATGAGGTGCTAGAAGATGTGCGGGGTGGCCCCATGCACAGTGCCCATGGAGCAGAGCCCATGGGACGCCCATGTACCCCTGCCCCAGGACATCCAGCCTCTGCCTGGTCCTCCTGGTCCAGCCCTGGCACCGGCAGCATCTGGGAGGGAGCCCTTTGGGCTGCTTGGGCCGGTGCTTTCCTGCAGGGTCAAGTGCCATTTCCCAGCCCCACACACAGCTCCCGGCTTGCAAATCCCCCCGCTCCCRCCTCCGCGCACCCCAGCATCCAGCCAGCGCCCCGAGTGGTGCTGGCYGGTGATGCCTCTTGCAGGCYGCCCAGAACATGGTGACAAGGTGCRTGGCTGCGGAGCTCCAAGGCAAGGGCATCCTGTGCACGGCCATCCATCCTGGCTGGGTGAAGACTGACATGGGCACAGACAAGGTACCGTGCTGTGCAGGGAGCGGGCAGCACGACCGGCTCTGCTCCTTGCTCCAAGGCCACCTCGCTGTGGCACTTACATCCCTAAGCCCTAGGGACAGCTCTGGGGCCTGCGTGCCGGCACAGCCGGTGCCGGCCGTGGCCCGTGGCGGTGATGCTGGCCCTTGTCCTCTCCTGCAGGCCCCTCTGACGGTGGAGTGCAGCGTGCGGGGCATCCTAGCCGTGCTGGGCAGCCTCTCACAGGACACCACCGGAGCCTTCCTYGACTGGGAAGGGAACAGCGTGCCCTGGTGATGGCACAGAGCCCCGTGCCGCTGCCCCTGCCATCTTTCCGCCTCGATGGGCCTCCACGCTCTGCAGCTCCTCTTTATTGGACCCGGGCTGTGAGGCAGTCGGGAAGGGCATGGGAGCCACCTTGTCCCTCCCTTTTTCCCAGCCCCAGCTCCCTGTCTCAGTAAACAAGTGGTGTTGACCCTTCTCTCCGCTGACTCTGCATCCCCAGCCTTTGGGCAGGACGGGGCTGGAGCAGGGTGCTGCATAGGTGGGAATACGCGGCTCTGGGCTCCTGTCCCCCTCGGTGGCAGCCTGGCTTGGGTCCCCCTCGCTGCTGTGCTCCTGCTCCCCATCCCGCTCACCGTGCTGCCACGGGGCCCTCCTGGCTGGGACAGCGTGTCCCCAGCTCCGGGCGGTCACAGCAGAGCTGGACTCACTGGCCCCAGGGCGAGCGCGAGGACCCAGCTGAGCTGTCACCTCCCCACACAGCCCCAGCCCAAGCGGCCGGTGCCCCCTCAGCCCAGGAGTCCCCTGCGAGCTCCAGCCCCGTGGCAAGGGACGTGGGAGGAGGGACCCCCATCTGGGCCCCACAGCCTCTGGGGTGTCCTAGCTCCTCAGAGATGGGCACCAGGCTGGGACACCTGCCCCTGGCCATGTTATCTGCCCGCAGCTCCCTTGTCCTCAGGAGAGGATGTTCCAGAGCCTGGATCCGCTCCTCTGGGACCCGTAGGCCCATGGGGGTCCCCATGCACAGCCTTGCATGAGGAGAGCTGGCTTGTGGGCAGGGTACACGCAAGGACAAGGACTGGGTCCATCACAGGTAGACGGCTGCCCTCCACAAGTGGACACCCCACAGGCAGCATCCTGCTGTCACAGGTGACTCAGCAGCACTGCAGTTTAAGGACACGGTTTTATTGAGCTTGTGGGCACAGCTTGGTGCAGCAGCAAAGGGACCTGCTGTCAGGATCCCGGCATGATGCTGCTCTGGGGTCTCACCAGGGTATGACTTTCCCTTCCCAGTCCAGCAAAGTGCCGCTGTCCTTCTCGGAAAGTTTGGAGAACACTTCCAGCATCATCTGCACACTCATGTCCACTGTCAAGGGAGGCTGTAAGGGGAAGGGTGAAATGTGGCTGTGTATCTAAGACCTGGCGTAGGTCTGTCCCCAAGCCCGGGCCAGAGGAAGGAAGCAGCTCAGCAGAATGTGGAAAGCAGAGAGCCTGAAGAACAAGGACTCAGCAAAGTGATAGGGGACACCCAGGGCTGGCAGTCACCGCAGAGTGCTGGGGTAGCCCACAGAGGTGATGGAGCCAGCAAGGAGGTCTTGCCTGTTAGTAGGTAGGTCAAGAAGGACAGGAAGGGGTTAGGTAACAAGGACCTCCCGCAGGAAGCCAGCACAGGGGCCTCAGTGAAACTCCTACCGTGTGTCCACTCACGGAGCCCATGTCGGTTTGCACCCAGCCAGGGTGGAGGGCAGCACAGAGGATGCCGTGTTGCCGGTAGCCCAAGGACTGGCACTTGGTGAGCATGTTCAGAGCAGCCTGCAGGGAGACACCGTAAGTCCTGGAGGGAACATGTGCAGAGCTCTGCCATGTCCTTTAGGTCTGCCAAAACAGAGCTAAGGGAGGACAGTGAGCTTGTGCCCCGTGCGCCTTGCATACCTTGCTGCAGCGGTAGGAGACAATTTGAATCATATCCCAGCTAGACTCGGAAGCAATAGAGCCACCAATGCTGGAAATGTTGATGATGGCTGCCCTGCTGCAGCTCAGCTCGGAGCTCGGGCTTCCCTGGGCAGCCTTCTTCAGCAAGGGCAGGAACGCCTGCAAGCAGAGAGAAAAGGGCCTGTGTGCACGTGGTTCAGGAGAGARGACCTGCTGCTTCCACCGTGCATCATCACGAGAGCACCAAGTCAGTGGGCAGATGACTCCCTGCTCCCACTGCTTCAGACCACCAGGTCCGTCCTCGCTGCAGCACACCTGTGGCTCTGTGCCCTTACCATCTGAGCTGGAGTTTACCAGGCCTTTCCACAGGCTGAGAGTCCACTGGGAACCCAGGGAGGGACAAAGTCCTCCTTTGGACCCTTTCCACGAGGTTGAGACATCCAGCTCTGGGAGCAGACTGGGGCAAGGGACATTTTGTGGATCTGAGCTGGGGTGCTGCAGCTGAGGGTCCTCACCTGGCTCACGAGCAGGGGCCCAATCGTGTTGGTGGCATACACTTCAGACATTTCCTCCCGTGTTGTGGTATCAAGTGAGTTCCACTTCACAATCCCAGCGTTGTTGATGAGGAGGTTGAGCCCAGAGCCCTTCAGGTGCTCTGTGACTCTGGCTGCAGCTGCCTGGATGCTGGCAGGGTCAGTGACATCTACAGAGTCAACACAGCAGGAGGTAAGTGCCCCATTCCCTTTCATAACTCCCAGCACCWCCAATGACAGGGAGCAGGRGCCTTGGGGCACGGCCAGGAGCACCTACCAAGTGGGATGATGACCAGGCTGGGGTGCTTGGACGCCAAACTCTGCAACTCCTGCAAGAGAGGGGACAAGAGAGAGGCAGGTACTCGTGGGCAGAGGGCTCTCTCGGCCAGCCCCGTGCAGCCCCTGGCACTGCTGCTCTGCCCCTGCGCTCCCCGTGCCCAGCGCCCTCCCTGCGTGTCCTGCTCCACTCGGACAGGGCTCCGAGCCTCCCGCAYGCACCACGGGCCMCCGCTGSCCCCTCCTGCAGACACCAGCCCTTCCGTGCAGCCCCRGAGCAGACGGGTGCTGTGCCAGCAGCTCCCTTGCTGTCCCCGAGGAGCCCTGGCCCCTCCGCGCACCCCGTGCACCGCTCGTCCTGTGGCCGCGCTCGCCCGGCTGCCCTGTGTGCTGGCAGCTGCAGGGCAGGCTTGGAGCTTCCCAGCTGCGCCCTCTCCAACCTTCTCCTGCCCCAAGACGAGGCCCTGGCAGCGCCTGCTGCCCTGCGCTGCCACCCCCTGCCAGGACAGCTCTGCTGAACCTCACCTGCGCTCGCTCTCCCTTGGGGTCCCGGCAGGCTGCGAAGATCCTCTCAGGAGGGTTTGGCAGCTGCAGGAAGTGTTTGACCAGTCCCAGGCCAATCCCTCGGTTGGCCCCGGTCAACAGAGCCGAGCGGACGCGGAGCCCTGCCATGCTGCTGCTCCTCCTGCCTCTGCCCTGTTATCACTGCACTAACTGTGCAGGTGCCCTTTGCCACCCAGGATATCTCGCACTTTCCCGCGAGGACTTGCAACAGCCACGGCCTCTAGGAAATTCCCTGTAATCTTTTGGCTATGCTCCATACCCAAGATCCACCTTTCCCCGAAGCTGAGGGCAAAGGGGACTGAGGATCCTCTCTAGGCAGCGGTGCCACGGGCTGGATATTTGCGTGGTTGGTGCCCACTCTCAAGTGCATTGCACGCTGTCCTCTGCCCTTGTCCCTGCCAGGTTGTCTGCAGGGAAGCAGGTTTCGCTCCTTGAGGTGTGGCAGGACAGGKGCAACACAGCAAGGCTGATGGCACCTTGCAGCTGCCTTCCCTTCATCCTTCTCCCTTCTGTAGGCCACTGAATGTGAGTCGTTTATTTGGGGGAGCAGAACTACTTCTGCTCCTGCGTGGAGATACGCCATCGTACCTCCACCCTCCCATCTCTGTCCTCCTTTCTTGAGGTAAAGTGGGTGATGAACGGGCTCCTTGAGCCCATGTGGTGCAAGGTGCTGGCCTTAACTCATGCARTATGGGTGCCAAAGGGCACGAAGGAGCATCTGGGACACACAAAGGGCCTTCATCAACCACAACAGTCTGGAAACCCTCCAGGATTGCTTGGAAACCCTCCACAGCTGCCATGAAGAAAACCCTTCCCACAGATCTGCCGCAACAAGAGTTATGAAATGGAAGCTTCAAGTGTGACAGATGGATGAAATCCAAGCCTGCCCCACAGCTATGTCTGTGGTGGTGTGGTGGCTCTTGGARCTGCGTGGTCACCCCTGCACAGGGTGGCGCAGGTGCTCCCCAGCTCACTCCTGCAGCAGTTGGATAATGGCACAAGTTGAGTGGAGATGGTGGGCTGATGGTGGCACACTTGCAGAAGAAAACCTTGGATTTGTTGTTGTGGGAGCTTCAGGACAGGCCTGCAGACCTCCCCAAGAGGTACTGTTGGACCTAAGGATCACCCGGGAAATGATCTGAGGGGATGACCTGTCCGGATGACCAAAGGAGAGACCTGGGGGGATGATCTGGGGGGTGACCTGGAAGGGTGATTTGAGGGGATGATCTGGGGGAGGATCTGGGGTATGACCTCAGAGGATTACTAGGGCGGATGATCTGGGGAATGATCTAGAGAATGACTTGGGGGGAATGACTGGGAAATGATGTGGGAGATGACCAAGGAGGTGATCTGAGGGATGACCAAGGAGGTGACCTGGGAGATGAGAAGGTGATGATTTGAGGGATGACTAAGGAGATGATCTGAGGGAYGGCCAAGAAGGTGACCTGAGGGATGACCAAGGAGATGACCTGGGGGATGGCCAAGAAGGTGACCTGAGGGATGACCAAGGAGATGATCTGAGGGACGGCCGAGAAGGTGACCTGAGGGATGCTGCAGGAGGACAATCTGGGAGATGAGTGGGGATGATAGGGCAGGATGACCTGGGTCCTGACCAAGGAGCTGACCTGCGGGATGGGGGTAGCCTGAGGAGATGACGGGGGTCGGATGTGGGGGACGAGCTGGGCGGGCGGCCGGAGGATGATGCGCGGGATGAGCAGGAGCCGCCCGGAGGGGTCGGTCACGGAGCCGCTCCGAG